CCACAACAGCAGTAACGAATGAGAAAAGTTTCCCACTTTTCAGTGTAATTTGTTTCCAAACCACCTTCAAAGATGAAGGCAGATGTATACTGTCATACATAAAAGAAAGATTTGTATACAATCATTTGTCATTGACCTACCGTTGACTTCTTTGATGTTGAGGGCATTCTGGTGGAGTTTGTGCTTGAGGATCAGCTGCTCTAGATAGTAAAACGTCTTTTTGTGAACAGTCTGTAATAAATAAATAGATTTTAAGCATCACCAATCTCATACAGATACTCATACATATCCTTCCCAACCACATGCCACATTTATTTGGAGCCCGTTGTCATTTGTGTTTGCTGCCAATTCCAAACGTCCTGCATTGCTTCACAGTAAAACAGTTTCAAGGAAGCGACTTTGGCTCATTGGGCAGAAAAACGGAAGACGGTAGCAAACTCTTACGTGAACGTTTTAATTTAAAATCTCTTCCAGACGGCAGAGTTGATAGAACATCACTGAACGTATGATTGGTTGCTTTTTGCTGAGATTCTCCAAAGGATAAGCACTTTGTGTTCACAAGCAACGGAACAGGTGTACCTAATAAAGTGCCCAGTGAGTGAATATTTCTAAGACATCTCATCGAACCACAGACTCCTACCTTCTGCCTGACTTGGACCACAGCCTTCCAGAAGTCCTTGGCCTCCACGCGGTGGCAGTCGTCACACATCTGGTACTGGATGACATACTCAACCACAAACACCTGCTGTAGGATAGCGCCATTCATCACCTGAAGACACAATGACAGCAAAAAGTTACACCTGTTCCAAAAGTGACAAAATGGCGCAAAATATAAATCCTGCCATGCGATGCTAATGAAATACATAAGTGGAATCTGGAGAGAGTATAATGACCGCAGAGGGATACAAACTAAAGGGATGGCATTGAAAAGCACAGGAATCGGGTTCCTCACTAAATGTCAGCGAGATGAGATAGCATCTTCCGGCAAAACACACTTCTCTCAGACACAAACACACAAGTTAAAACACTGACCACTCACAGAAATTAACGACCGGTCCGTTCTAATCAGTTAGTTTGAATGTCACTCTCCAACAACGTCTTCTTACCTCCTTCTGGATGGTCAATTTCATCTTAATCCGCTTGGAGTGCGGCTCTGTCCACAAGAAGCCAGCATCAATGAGACGCACCTGTGAGCAGAGGGGTGCCATCAAATACTGTAGTGTACATCAAGTCAGGTACATGAGGGGGACACCATATTATTATGAAGATGAAGTCCATGACAAAAGAAATACATTAAACATGAATATCACATAGGGTTGAAAGAATCACGGTAGAACAATACTTACAATACATACGTGACTATTTACCTGCAATGTTCACTGAAATTTTTGTGACTGAAAATGTGCTTTTTGAAGTTTAGTACGGATCACACTTACTTTGGTCATAGAGCTCTTTATTTTTTTCAGGCAAAGGGCCAGGAGCTCCCTGGACTCCAGGGCACATTGCATCCAGGTGGCTGGAGGCTGCAGGTACCTGCACGGAGGAGGACGGTGTACATTCAAGCCTCAACCGTACAAACAAAATATTTGAAACAGTTGTACCTGTAAATGCTTTCTATAGGGATACAACGATGTATTCTTGGTATCCTGAAAGAGATGCGTTGAAAAAAAATAGGGGACATGAAACAAACCTTTCACACTGCTTGCAGAAGTTCACTGTGACTTGCTTGGGGATCCCCTCAGAGATATCAACCTGAGTACGCAGGCAGGCCACACACATGTTGGCTGGGTTGGGGGGGATGGGGACGCCACAGGTACAGCACAGGCTGCGAGGGAGAGAGGCCACAACATGAAACCGCTGACTATTTCTCTCCTCGGTTTATTGTACAGTGTTTTCCGTCAGTCATTGATTTCTGTTGCCTCTAAAGTGCAATGCCAGTTAACGGTCAGACATTAAAAACGTACATACAGTTATGAATCATGAATGTCCATTGAGATGCTTAAAGCTTTTCCAACGTGACCGTAACAGTAAAATATGGTTACTATAATGAGCCTCTAGCAAAATTCTGGAAACATTGACTCAATGAGCATGGGTAAGACATGGGTATGATGTGTATTCTTGAAAGAACCACGAAATGACTATGTTTCAAATTATAGATTGACAATTCACCAGGATAGTTTAATACTAAAAAATTGATTATTGACACACTTGCAGACTTAGTGAATAGAGCAATCAATGGTAATAGTTACAGATATGTATTCGTCAAAACGTCAGAGTTGGGAAAGGTCTGTCAGGATTTAAGGACATAAATACTAATTGTTCACTTACATATTCCCCTGGATGCTTTTGGCAGGAGCTTGCACGTACTCCATTCTCGTCAACTGTACAGGTCAGTGTGTGCCACAGCTTATGCAGAAAAATATAAGAGAACAGCCAACGTTAGTTGTTAGCAAGCACTGGATATACACCAATGACATTATTGTAACAGAAATGAATAACATGATAGTAAGGCTGTGTTGTTCACATTCAGTAACAAGTAAACAATTAAATACAGAAAGCTAATAGATACCTGAAAAGCGGCAGTGGGGCTAGTTTATGTGAGCTAGCTGATGGTCTACATTCAGCGGCTAGCTAGCCTGGCTAAGTTGCTAGTTTTTACGCCTTATTCTGAAATATATTTGTGAAAAAACAAACACACTATGTAAACTAAAAGTAATTGACAGCTACAACTAGCATCGGCGTAGTTGACAAAACTTACTGAAGTTATTTCGATGGCAAAGCCCCAACACACTCTGTGAAGTAACGTCCACGTTTTCCCCACCGAGGTGCAAGGAAGGATTGGTGACGTCATGAAATGCATAAGGACCCCGGGACTGTCTTAGCTTGCCTGAATAAATCTCCAACAAAAACATTTTAATATGCCAATAACAGCCGAAATTAAACAGTTAAATAGAAAAATTAAATCAAATAATCCACAATAAAGAGAAATGGTATAATTTAAGCTATTGAACATATATGACACTAGGCTTTCATAACTTATTGTACCAATTATTTAAAAAACACAATAGTATATATTACATTACATTACATTACATTACATGTCATTTAGCTGACGCTTTTATCCAAAGCGACGTACAATAAGTGCATTCAACCATAGGGGTACAAACTCAGAGAACAAGAACAAGAAGTGCAATTTCCTCAAATAAGCGAATTTACAATTTGCTATAGATGAGTGACGTCACAAGTACAGGTTTGAAGTGCTACCAATTGTTAGTCTTTAGTCGAGGTAAGAAGTCCGGAAGAAGGTGTGGTCTTTAGTTTTGCGGCGGAAGATGTGAAGGGCTCTCTGCGGTCCCTGATGTTCTTCAGAGAGCCGCGTTCCACCATTTCGGCGCAAGGACAGCGAAGAGTCGAGACCCTAGTCGAGTGTTTTGCTCTCAGTGGGGGAGGGACGAGTTGTTTTGCAGATGCAGAGCGGAGAGTGCGGGTAGGGATGTAGGGTTTGACCATGTCCTGGATGTAAGCTGGACCCGATCCATTCACAGCATGGTACGTGAGCACCAGTGTTTTGAACTGGATGCGGGCGGCCACCGGTAGCCAGTGAAGAGAGCGGAGGAGTGGAGTAGTGTGGGAGAATTTCGGAAGGTTGAAGACCAGTCGAGCTGCTGCATTCTGAATGAGCTGCAGAGGTCGAATGGCGGTGGCAGGGAGACCTGCCAGGAGGGAGTTGCAGTAGTCCAGGCGGGAGATGACAAGAGCCTGAATCAGTACCTGCGCTGCCTTCTGAGTGAGAAGGGGACGTATTCTCCTGATGTTGTAGAGCGTGTATCTACAGGATCGCGTTGTCGCAGTGATGTTGGGAGTCAGGGAGAGTTGGTTGTCGAGTGTGACGCCGAGGTTCTTAGCAGTCGAAGTGGGCGTTAGCACAGAGTTTCCAAAGTTGACTGTCAGGTCCTGGGTAAGCGAGTCTTTTCCGGGAAAGAGAAGTAGTTCAGTCTTGTCGGGGTTGATTTTCAGATGGTGGGCGGACATCCACTGAGAGATGTCAGTTAGACAGGCAGAGATCCGAGCCGCCACCTGGGTGTCCGAGTGAGGGAAGGAGAGAATTAGTTGGGTGTCATCGGCATAGCTGTGGTAAGAGTGGTATGTGGTATATATATATATATATATATATATATATATATATATATATGTAACTATGCGTCATTTAGATATAACATATTTCCCTGTTGCAACATGCTATGGATATGCTTTATTATGTGTGATGCTAATTACCGTAAATGTATATCTCAGACTAATGTCCAGGCCAGGCCAGCAAGTTGAATAGTATATTAATAATTAATACTTACAATATTAGACCATTTAAGCTTTGACAGCAAAAAATAGAGAGAAAGTAAAGTAGTATCATATTCAGTAGTTTCTTTTGACAGGTTGATCTATTTACACCAACAACAATCTAATATGAAGAAGAATATTTATTTTCTAATATTTATACAATTCAGAAAACCGATCCCATCTCCTCCAAGCGTTTAGACAAAATCCTGATTGCATTTATTTAACCCTGAAACACATGAAATAGCTGGTCTTAAACAGTCTGAATAATGTGGTGCAATCTCATATTTTTTCAAAATGTTTTTAATAGATTAATGACATAATCGTTTATCTTGCATTCTTGGTATGGATACTTCCGTAGGGTTTACGCCAAATCCATTAAAACTCCATTTCTTTGCCAAGCATTTAAAAAAAAAAAAATAGAAAATTAGCTGGCTTTTTCTATACCCCCCCCCCCCCCCAACTTCCTACAGTCATCATTTAAAATGAAATTGGCAAAAATCCTATATTATTAATATTACCCTGGTGTGGGCTTTAATGGACAAATTCCGTACGCAAGCTTTTCTTCAAAGTCGTATGAAAGTTCGAATGTTATGTGGAGCAGTCCCACAGCATGTAATTGTAACATGAGAGATTTATTCGTGGGTGTCGATGACAGATCACTGACTGGTTTGAGGGACGTTACGAGTTGCACCTGAAGGCACCACCCTCGTTCAGTCAGTCAGCGGCAGACAGTCACAGCAGCAGCTGGGAATGCGAGGGATCTGCTGCACGGACCGCTATTTACACGACTGGATATCACAGCAGGGTCCGACCGGGAAACAAACAAACTCTCTCTCTCTCTCTCTCTCATATCTAGACAGCGCTACGTGTTCAGTCCGCGGAGGAGGCGTGCGGGAGAGTCGTTGGTCTCCGCCTGCATCAGATGGTCACCGGACAGCCGGCGGGGGCTCACTGCGGGGCCGCATGCTAGAGGAGGAGGAGGTGGGGGGGAACCAGCCGGAGAACCGTGTTTACCACCTCCACACCTCCTAGTCCGTGAACTTAACGCGCCTCCCTGCTTAAAAGTGTCACTCCGCGTGACCCGTGTCCAGGGTGGTGGTGGTGGTGGTGTGGTGGGTGGAGACGCTTGACTTTAAATGTTTCACCGCCACCAAACCGCTGGAGTGAAATCCGCTGCGGCGCACACGCGACCCGCCGCGCGTCAATAAATGATAGAGGATACGATGACCCTGCTGTCTCTGTTAGGTCGGATCATGCGTTATTTTCTGCTCAGGCCGGAGACCCTGTTCCTGCTGTGCATCAGCCTGGCTCTCTGGAGCTACTTCTTCCACACGGACGAAGTGAAGACCATCGTCAAGTCCAGTCGCGACGCGGTCAAGATGGTCAAGGGGAAAGTGGCGGAGATGATGCAGAACGAGCGGTTCGGCGGGCCGGACGTCCTGGACGCGGAGTTCTCCAAGACCTGGGAGTTCAAGAGCTACAACGTGGCCGTGTACTCCATCCAAGGCCGGCGAGACCACATGGAGGACCGGTTCGAGGTGCTCACCGACGTCGTCAACAGGAGTCACCCGTCTATATTTGGGATTTTTGACGGCCACGGGGGAGATGTGAGTACTACAAGCATGAAAAGGCAAAATGTTGTCTTTTTTTTTTCTATATACATGTGGGCGTCTCATTCAGTCCGCTTCAGTCTGTCACTGTCTCTCCAACAAAATACACGTGTGTGGGTACCGTGCAAGTGTATTTATCAGTGCTTTTGTGCAAGCTGGTCTGGTTCACAGCCAAATGTGCATTAAATCCACAAGTTGGATATAAGCCCATACATAAAATGATAGTATGCTTAGGACAGCATCTTGTATTTGACGGAAAAGTGTCGAATTACCTGAATCACCTGCTTGTGTTGAGCAGCTGGTACAATTTTAACCGATGACAAGTTTGTTTCAGCTGAACGGGTGATCCGATAACTGATTTATTATATTCGGTGAGATTTACATAAGCTTAAGTAGAAGTTGCGATAAAGTTGCAGGGCTGGACTGTCGCAGTAACAGACACTGTTTAAACAATGTTGAAATGTTTCTCCGGACCTTCGCTAAGATTTACTATTGTTATTCAATCAGACAGGAATTCATTCAATGTGCAACATAAGCACAACTTGCAATGGTGACGGTCTTTATTTGGGCACAGACACTTTTATGAAACAGGTTTAGGGCAACCCAAGGACTCCATTGATTCCATGGATCCATCTATCTATCCACGTAACTAAGACCCATACCCTGCACACACATTCACCCACACTTAATCTGTTCTCTTCCAAAAGGCAACCGCATCTATTTACAGCTGAAATTCCAGCCCAAAATATCCATGTTTTTCTTTCTCTGTCCAAAACCAATATTTTATTGCACCGATACCACCGGCCTCGTGGTCTAACGTGATTATAGCTGGAAGGAGGAGGATGAACTCAGACCGGTGGGCTTCAGAAGCATTTGTGAATACAGCTCAGCTTCATATAAGTGACGCAAAATGGCGACCTCCCCCACCCCCCTTTTAGTCTAAATTAATCCTTTTTTTTAACGTTCATTTTGACATTAATGTAAAGCGGTTCCGGGTTCACGTTTTCTTTTTTTTATGTTGGATAAAGAGACAAAGAGCATCTGAGAGGATGCCACAGTTTGACACTAAAACACAGATTTATCATGAAGCCATAGTTTTTCAGGACTTCAAGCGACAGAACTGCCTACAAAACCCCCACAAATTGTAAACGACGGAGTATTTCCCTCTGTCTCGTATCCTCTCCTCTCTCTCCCCTTCACTTCAACTTGTACACCATACATGACGCATCTCTTGACTGTTCTGCTTTGTTGAGGAGCACCACGCTGTTTTTAGGACTGACAGCGACGGCCTTCTGTTTTCACTGCTGTGGTCTGATTGAGGCTGAATGATGACATGCTTAAAGAGGCGTAAAGGATTGCTATTCTTTTAGGGGGAGTTTAATTTAAGGCCGCGTTGCTGACTGCTGCAGCTTTTCACCAAAAGTGGTCATTGGATTGTTTTTTCCCTCGTGCTTCTTCTCTCTGCGGAGTTCCTTTTTTAGAGACCAGTGACCTAACCTGTGAGCGCTGCTATAGCTACCGCACACAAGAGACCCCAGGAAAGGAATCGCAAACAGGCGATACGTGTTTGTAAATCTGACGGTGGAAGGAAGGAGAAAACGAGTGGGAGAGCATCTAGGGTAAGAGGAGGAAGAGGAACCGGTTGGGAGACAAAGAGCTGTTTTATTACTGCACGTCCACGGGCAGCGATGTGGTTGGTTTTCCATTCCAACGGCCTTCTTTTGAAGTGTGTGTGTGTGAAATGATTGCCAGACAGCAGCCCTCAAAAACAACTTCTTCTCTCTCCGCAAATGGAGATTTTATTTATTTATTTGTTTGTTAGCCAGGGGCCATTGAATGAAGCATACGGATGTTTTGTGGCCCGAGGCAACACCAGGAAAACCGGCTGCATCAGCTGGCTAATTACTGAGGTGTCAGCCGCATCCATTTCTCTGCACACACACACACACACACACACACACACTGCTCATCCAAAGCATATACACAGTCACACAAGCCGGCCTTGTATCAAAATTGATCAGCAAGACTGCAAAATCAACGTGTCTTTTAATGAACAGAAATGTAATTTTCACTGTGATACGAGTGAGCCAACAAATAAACATCGAGGGAGGCGGTGGTGGGTCTAAAATCTAATTTGGCTTGCAACAAACTAACTTTTGGAAAATTCTCTATTCAATTTGTCTTGTCCGTGTAATTGGACACATGCTCGTCCCACTTTTACATTTTTTTTATCATTATTAATTATTAAAACAGGCAGGATAGCTTCTTAGTTAAGGAAGCCAGTCCGTTCATTACCAGATTCATTTCCAGGCAATGCAAAATATCCGGAAACATCCTCTACGTACCACAACAACCCAACTTGATTTTTCGCATGTTAAAAATCTGTGTTTAATGTGAACACGTCCAGCCGAGGTGTCGTACTCGGTGATGGCTCAGTGAGAGGATCTATTTTAATGGAGATTGATTCTTAGCTGACACATAATCTGCACCGACGTGATAACCCATGTATTTTCATCCTTACATGCAATATGCAGCACGTCTTCCCACGCTGGCATGTAGAGAGTCAACCGTACGCTGCTGCTCTCTGCCTCGCTGTCTGTCAGCTTGTAGCTTTGCAAAATAACAACTCCACTGTTCCCGAGTACAGAAAAGACATTCACAACCGGGCCGTAATGTGGGACCCGCTCCTCTCTGGCCGTAATGTGGGACCCGCTCCTCTCTGGCCGTAATGTGGGACCCGCTCCTCTCTGGCCGTAATGTGGGACCCGCTCCTCTCTGGCCGTAATGTGGGACCCGCTCCTCTCTGGCCGTAATGAGGGACCCGCTCCTCTCTTTTTGGTTGTTGAGTAAAGAAGGAGAACCCCCCCCTTGAAACCACAGGGACAATGACAATTTTTAGATTGATCATCTCTGTACTTTTCTTACCTTTTGCTTTAGGGTTCATTTTCATCTTCATTATTCATTACTTGAAATGTAGAGGAGACTTTTGAGTGTAATTTGAAGCCGTGGTGCTGTATAGTTCATTGTTTTATCCACTTAACAATAAAGTCGGAGAGGCTGTTTTCGATTGAAAGATCTTTTGTTTTTTTATATGGCGATTCCTCCCAGGGCAATTGGGCGGGTTCCACAGTTTATATCTAAGCAGTATGGCCTTTCAGAGTTCGTCCCACTAGAAAGGAGGAAAGAGGCGGCCTCTGCCAATGCACCATTGTTGGCATTACCAGGATTAGAGACAAAACCGAGGGAGGGAGTGTGTAAAGACCTAGGACCAAGGGGTGTGTGTGTGTTCTGTGTGTATGTCTGTGTGTGTGTGTGTGTGTATGCGTGCGTGTGTGTGTGTGTGTGTGTGTGTGTGTGTGTGTGTGTGTGTGTGTGTGTGTGTGTGTGTGTGACTTCATGAATATTTATGTTTGCACAAGAAGGTGCATTTCTTCTCCTTCATGAATGTTGAGGACTCGCACGGAGATAAGCGACAACTTGACTGTAAGAGACGTAAGATGCCAAAGGCTTATCGGGACCAGGCTCCTGCTTCACACTATTTCACATCGCCTCGTTATGCATTGCCCTCAGCAAGTTTATAAAATAAACTTTTCAGGTACACATTTGTGACTACTTGTATTTAAAAAGGCTTTCAGGCAGTGATGAACCCACGGATTTATCACCTGGATTTGCATTTTCCTGACGCAACTACTGGTGAACAGATCTAAATGTAGGTTGAATATTGGATTTTAGCTTATCCGGGGGTCACAAGGACGTCTCCAAATGAATGTGAATGTGCCCCCCAAGTGTGTCACATCACCTTTTAAAAGGTGAGGCTGTCTCGTGTATCTCAATCCCTCTGATAATGTGGTTTCTCCAGCCAGCTCATCCCCTTCTGTAAACCACGACGTAAATGGATTGGCTCTACAGAATGGGGCAATACGGCTTCAGTCATGCGCCCGCGTGTCCTTGAGTATGACTGAATTCATTCACCTTCACTGTACATGTCAAAACATAGATACCGATCTAATTGGGGCTCAGCTAAATTGCCCATTACTACTGATATCCTCCCTGCCGTCCTCTCTCACCTGTGAAAGCTGCTGCTCAGTATTTCAGCCCTTCCTTGATGTCACGTGAAGCAGAAAGTGGAAAGCACGCAGGAGGTCATGTTCGGTTGGAAAAAGACTTGTGTAGCTTAAGGACTCTGCTGAAAAGTCTTCTGTCCTTTTTCAGTAATTGGTCCTGGGCGGGGAGGTTTGTTTTCCATGTAGCGGAAGACTCTGGGGTTCAGTGCAACACTCCAAATAAATGAATGGAACTGTTGCTGTCATGCAACCTAAATGTTTGGCCTTGGAGTTGACATCTGTAATCCCCCCTTTTCCACAGACCAAATTCTTTTAATAGAATATTTTCCGTCATTCAGAAATTCAACTTATTTTAATGACACTTTGCCTCTTTGTGACTTTGCATTAAAATACGTCTCTTGCTATTCGAGCATCAGACCATCGGCGAAGTTTTACCTTCTTCAACCTCAGTGTGCCGTCCTTCCCTTCTGGCATCGACTGCTCAATAATTTAACGGCCATCTCTGTCAAACCCATCTTCAAAACCCCCTCGGCTAATTATACACGGACCTCCTGAGCAGAGGGAAGCCACGAGGTCATTGTTCACACACATCACGTGGATGGCTGTGTATGTTGAGGTTTCTTGGAGGAGGTCTCGTGTGGGAAGTTGTTTTACAAAGTTGGAGCTTCATGGTATTTAGCGTCTCTCTTTTTTTTTTTTTTTTTTTCTCCTGCACTTCACTCAGTCCTCTGCCAGCGGGGCTTGAAGGAGCTGACATGGTGTTGAAAGGCGGGTTTGGTAATGGAGCTGTTGTGCTTGGTTGCCAACCCCCCCCCCCCCCCTCCCTTCCCCCTCCACATTCTCTTTTTTATTTGGGGGGTTTGCCAGGGAATGAATAACAAAAGCCATCTCCAAAGCCGTGGCAACCTGCTGGCCACGCCCGGGGTCAGCTCG